CAGTGCAATACTTGTAAATATACATTGTACAGATTATACAAATCCATACAGGTCTCTATTTTTAAGTACTCTATTTTTATTCCTATTTATCACATTTCAATGAGCATTCCTTTGTAGCAGTTTGGGCTGTGCATTTATCAGGGTGGGTTGGGGTTTACAGTGGCAGGGTGGCTAACCTGGTTAATGATAGTTTTAGTTTTCTTTTTTTCTGTGTTCTTTTTTTTTGGTTTGTTTTTACTTGTTTTCTCTGAAACTGGAAACACACGTCTACTGTCTGCACTGATTCAGCCTTCAGCTCATCTCCTCCAGTAGTCTGATTATTAACACAATCAAGACATAGTGCAACAAACCAAAAACCGCAGCACAATCTCAACTATCAATCAAAATTGGACCCATCTGGACTGCATAGAGAAATGCTGTACTTCCTGCTGGTCAGTGCTATTTATTTGTAAAAAATAGTAAATTTGTTTTGTGTTTGTCTATTCAGATTTGACACTGTTGTTGCTGTGTTCTGTCTTTTGTAACAAAACTATAGTGGTATTTACATTGATGCTTTTCATTCTGTCATCCCTCCACTTCAAAGTGCAACTGTCCAGAATGTGTCCTTATTAAGTCAAACTGAACTGAAAATGGTTTCCTGCCCTCTAGCAGTGCTCAATATGCAATTACTGTCCAAAGTTCAAGCATATTTTGTTTTATAGACTGCTGTTTAAAAGACTATAAATGCACCATTTGATAGCTGAACGTCACACAAGTTGAATAGAGTTGAAATGGCATTTCTAGCCCAAGGTATGTCGGAGATATTAAGCTTCTAACTTTGCCCCATTCATGTCCAATGGGAAGATTTTTGTGAAAAAAGCTGAATAGCTTAAAAAGTATAAAAATTATAAAAAAAGTTGTATACAAGCAGTCATGTCCTTAAAGAGCTAAACAGTTTGATACCTCAATGGTCCTTCTAGGTGAAAGTATGCTGAAGGAGTTAGGTGCCAAAGAACAGTGGCGGAACCCAGATTAATAACTTGAGAAATGCATTTCTTGAAGAAAATGCATGTGGATGTGAACTTGGTAATGCATTGCTCTGAAAATGCCAGAAATCAATAGCCGAAACGGCAGAAGGATGAGAAGAAATGGCTGAAGTGCTTTGTTCAAATAGTTGAGAAGAATTGGCTGAAGTTCTTTTTTTGAATTATCTGAAGGATGAGATGAAATATATACAAGCAAGAATGTCCTTGAAGAGCTGAACATTTTGATACCTGAATGGCTTTTGTAGCTGAAACTATGCTGAACTTATAAAGATGTGAAAATTGTCTCATTCGTCCCCACAAAGTAGGTAAAACGAGCAGGTGTGTGTGAGAGAGAGAGAGAGAATTCCCAATTACACCCTGTGGACTACTACAGTGTGGCTATTGAAATGAAACATTGTGAGGA